TGTAATTATATATAATGAGTTATAAAAAAAACTCCATCTATTGATATTCTCACTTAAATAACATGTCTTTTCAATTTCCTTCTAACTATTTTTATGACTTATCCAATATATAAATACCAATTATCTGTAGAGATGTTGAATGGTCATTTTCATTTTTCATTCTTTCTTTTTAGTAGTATAAGTTTTTAATTTTTTTCTTCGTTTTTTTATTCATCAATCACGTACATAATAAAAAGAAGACATAAAAAAGATGATGTCACAATATGACCTTCACTTTGATGAAGATCATATATATACTCTTCAAAGATTCATCACATTATTTGATATAAGTTCAACAAAATGAAGAAGGAAACATAATTATCTTGGAGATTCTGAAAGATATAGAGTCTTAGTAGTATAAAAGTTTGAATGATTTTCAAACATTTTGAAGATTCATTGTTATATTCTTTTGATTCCAATTAATACTATTTTATTTTATTTTATTTCTTTGATTTGAACAAAAAATAAATATTCTATTCAGTGTTGTTATCATTGAAGTTGAAAAGATGCATATTCTTTTATTATTTATACATACATCAATTTATAGCTAATTAATATTTTAAATTTTGCCATGATTGAATTAAAACTATATTATCTATGGTACATTTCTTTTATATCTACCGGCTATTGTTGTCCCTAAAAATATATGATGTGGTCTATCATATTAATAAAATCAATCACAAATAAATGAATAAATTTTATTTTTAGCATTGAATTTTCGTAATAATATCTTATGAATGAGCACACCCAATATTAATTTGTAAGAATACATTACATTATTTTTTTAATTAAACATATAAAGTTGACAAATTTTTAATGTGAATGAATAACACATGACAACGTTAATAAGTAATAAACTCGTATGAGAATATATATATATATATAAAATTGTGAATAATAAAACTAATTTTGAGTAGAGCACTTTCATTATTGTAATTTGTTGTTTATCATATTTTATGTTTTTTCATTAGTTAAAATCTTTACTTTTTCATTTTATCCTATAAATAAATGGGTACGGGGAGAAACTAATCTAATCTTATTAATTTTCTCTTCTTAAACTAAAAATATGTATCTCTTTATCTTCATAACTTATATTTTTATAATCTCTATAACTCATCGTAACTCCCATATTTAAATGTGTAAACTTATGATAATTTATTTTATTTCTTAATATATATATATATATAGAGAGAGAAAGGGGACTATGAATTAATAGAGATTAAAGAATAGAAAATTTAAAAAGTATTAAAACTAAATTTTAAAATAACTTGATTAAGACTATGGGATACAATGTCACAGGTTTTCAACATAAACTTATGTTGCAACCTATTCCTTAAAGAAAAGAAAAAGAAAATCATGATAGAAAATATTTTTCTGCCAAAATCAAAAATAACAATTAAAAAAGAAGACTTGAAATAAGTTTTATATTGTTTTGAACTTTTAAAATGAAACAAATAATACGAAATAATTATTCATAAAATGACAATAAAAGTTTGAGACGGCAAAAATAACTAGAGCAATTATTCTACTAGAGTATTCTTTAGTTACTTTGTTGAACTGACTAATAAATGGAACAATATGCTCTTTTAAAATCGAGGGTGTCATTTGTCAATGCTTTAATTGAGATAGCTAAAGTAGTTTATTGGGTTTTAATTTTAAAAATAGAAAAAGGAAAAGCTAAAAATTCATTAATCTTTAAATATGAAAATATAATAATTAATTAAAATAAATAAATATTTCTAAAATTAATCAAAGTATAATTTTCTTATCCACATAGACATAAAATCAAATATATCAAATCAACTATGTAACATTTCCAAAATGTAGAGAACACAAATAAGTCTCAAATTGCAGATTATATTCTTAATTTCGTTTAATTTTTCTCTCAAAACATCTCTTACGTAGAGTGTCCTTTAACATGGAACTAGGCTGACCTAACATTAGTTAGCATAACAGATCTCACATTATTTTTCTTCAGTAAAATAGTATGTCTTTCAATGAAGGGCATCTCTTTGTTTGAAATATTTTTTTTTGTAGTTACTAATGTCTTAATCGTATGATTATCTACGCAATAAAAAATATCAAGAATTTGACATTCCAAATATTTGAGAAATAAATTATAGTACGATATAAATGAGAGAAATTTTAATAAAGAACAAGATGAACTAGGGCAAAAATGGGGTATACCTTGATTTTAAGAATTTCTAATTGTCAATGAGCGTTGCAATGAAGCCTCTTACGTAAATGATATAATACTCTAAATTAAACTTTATTTTTACACGCTATTTCAATATTTTTTTTGCCACGTCATTTAAATGTTGAACTCTTCAAACTACTCTATACGCATCAATTTTATGGCATAGCAAATGAACATATTGAGAGGATATGACATTCCACATAATAAAAAGGAAGAATTTAACACCAAAAAAAATAGTTATTTGCAATAAATTTTAAAATAACAAAAAATAAATTAAAAACAAAAAAAATAAAATAACAAGAATATTTTATTAATTAACCAATATGGATACAATTCTATTCCTGTAAGATTTATTCATAATTTTAAGACAGTGAAGCATTTCTCAAACTAGATTAATTTATATTTAATTTATTTATAAATATACAAAATATTTATCAAATTAAAATTGAATAATTATCTAAAAACTATAATTAAATATATAATAGAGTATTCATTATAATTAAGCGCGCTAGAGTTTCACAAAATCTCAATATCCAGATATTTTCTTGGTTTTTCAAAAGTGAAAGAAGAGTTAGAAGTAACTACCAAAACCAGTCGGTTTATAAAATATTGCGGGAGGGTTTTGTAGGGTATTTTTTTTTCTCTTCATAAGCCAAGAAAAAACCTTTCAATTTCACATTTAAACTTGTTTAGTTTATCGATAAAGTGTGGTAAAGATACGAAATTTGGATAAGATTAAGAGGGGAAGTTGGAAAAAAAAATGGGTTCTTTGAAAAATGAAACAGAAAGTTTGTTGCAAGAAGAAGAAGAAGAACCAATCTTGAAAGAACAATCACAAAAGTACTGCACCTTTCCTATTAGATATCCACAACTTTGGGAAATGTACAAGAAAGCAGTAGCCAGTTTCTGGTCTGGTAATCCCTATATTTTTTGTTCTTGCTTTTTTTTTTTCATGAGATAGTTATGCAAAATTGTGTTACTGTACTTTATTTGTTCATCATGTGTTCTGTTTTTCTGCAAAGTTTGTTGCTTTATATGGTTTTCTTGGCTGGTATTGTGTTGTTTGTTTCCCCTTT